TGCTATCTAGAATATGGTAGGTGTAGTTGAAACATTTATAATAGTAGTGTAGCCAACAGTCCCTAATTGCATCGCATATCGGTGCATGTTAGATGGAGCCAATAGTAGAGGAGGTGGCTACCCATGTGGCCGAATCATTGGTAGATAAAGCAGAGCAAGAACTCAGATACTTGTGTTGTTACAAGACCTACGTTGACGACTTTGAAGAGGAGAAGACAAGTTTGAATGCAAGAAGAAACAAAGTGCTTAAAGATATTGACGAAGCCAAGCACCGAAATGAGAATCAGGTTGAAGATCACGTTGCACTGTGGTTAGACAGAGCCAATGGTCTCATAGGAGAAGACACAAAAGGAAAGAAGAAATGGTTTGGTTTGGTCACTAATTGCTTTTGGCAGTACAAGCGAGGCAAGGAGCTGGAAAGGAAGACACAAACGATTAAACGACTGATGGAACAGAGTAACTTCGCTCGTGTTGCTCGATCAACTGGGCTTCCAGGCATCGAGTTCTATTCTTCTTCAAATTTTATGACTTTTGAGGATAGAAAGTTGATCTCTGAGAAGCTGAAGGAGGCATTGAAAGATGACAACAAGTTTATGATTGGATTGTATGGGCTAGGTGGAACAGGGAAAACCACAATGGCAATAGAAATAGGTAAAGATGTTGCAGAATCAAAGTTGTTTGATAAAGTCATCTTCAGTGTTGTCTCAAAGGATGCAAACTTGAAAAATATTCGGGACAACATTGCAAAACACCTGGGTCTGCGTTTAACCCAAGGAGAGGATGAATCTGAACAAGCGCAAATATTATGGAAAAGAATAGCAGAAGGTGGAGAAAAGGTACTTATAATACTAGATGACATGTGGCAAAAGCTTACACTGCGAGAAATAGGGATTCCTCTTGGCCGCCATGGCAAGGGTTGTTGTGCTATTTTGCTGACCACACGTGATCTGAGAGTTTGTATAGATATGGGATGCGATGAGCTTATTAAACTTGAGGTCCTAAATGAAAAGGATGCAGTTGATCTTTTCCTATCTTATGCTGGCAGGAGCATAGATGGTCCTTCCAATGGTTTTAAGGATGTGGCTTTAGGCATTGTGAAGGAGTGTGGACGTTTACCAGTTGCAATTGTAGCAGTGGCAAGTGCACTAAAGTCTAGGCCTTTATCAGAATGGCAGGATGGTTTGAAAAGATTGCAGACTCATGAGGGAATTCACGATGTTCCAGAAGATTTAAAACAGCCTTATAACTCTTTGAGATTAAGCTATGATAATCTCAGGAATGAAAAGGCTCAAGAACTCTTCCTCTTGTGCTCTCTCTTCCCAAAGATTATGAAATACCTATAGAATTTTAACTAGGATTGCTATAGGTGTTGGCCTTTGTGGAGAAGCTAACACATACTCTGTTGCAAGGAGTCATTTTACTCCAATTAAAAATGAGCTCATAGATTCCTGTTTGTTATTAAAGTTGAGAATGAATGTGTCAAAATGCACGACTTGGTTCGGGAGGTAGCTCTATGGATTGGAAACAAACAGGTTCAAGTGGGCATGAATTCTAACTCAACTTTAATGAAAACATCCAATATTCATCTTGGAACATAGTTGACTTTCCGAATCATTTTGATGGCAAAAAACTTGAGGTTCTTTTACTTTGGATAAATGATGCAAATTCTCCTTGGATCAAAGTTCCTGATGCTCCCTTTGAAGGGATGGAGAACCTTAAAATTTTGGCTTTAATGGGTTTGTCAGATTTAGAAACTTCAGCTACTTCCTTATTTCAATCGCCTTTGTCATTGACAAATGTTCGAACTTTGGCCATAAAGAATTTTAAGTCATTAGGAGATATATCTATTTTGGCAAATCTAAAAAACCTTGAGAGCCTTGAATTGAACAATTGTTCGATTATTGAATTGCCAAAAGAAATTAAAGAACTTCAAAAATTGAGATTGTTGGAGATGGTGAACTGTTCTTTTACTGGAAGAAATAATCCTTTTGAAGTGATTGGAAGTTGTTTTCTCTTAGAGGAGCTGTATTACGATTCAAATCTTGTGGATGATTATGACGGGCAAATTACAACAATTCCTAGATTGGAAAGGTATCACATAATGGATCGGGTTCCGGGTTATTATAGTGATTATAAAGAGGATCTTTCAGTATCTAGATATTTTAATTCAATGAACTTAAAAGTATACTTCTCCAATGAAATATTTAAGCTCCTTGTGGCAAGAGCCGAAGTTTTGGTTTTAGGACGAGATTACTACAACAGAGGATGGACAAATATTGTTCCTGACATACTATCTGTGGAAGATGACAGCATGAGAGATCAATTAACTAGGCTCTCTTTGTATTCAACGAAAGAGATAAAGTGCCTAATCCATACTGAGAATCTCCGACCTGGTGTGGCTATCTTCTCCAAGTTGGTTGAACTGAGGCTTTCTTCTGTGGATGTGAGAGAACTATGCCATGGGCCTTATCCTGTTGACTTTTTGAAGCAACTAAAGGAGCTGGATTTATCTAGATGTGAAAAATTGGAAGGCACGTTATTTGATGGCAAGTTAGAGCTGTGTAATCTTAAATCCATATATCTAAATGAATGTTCAATGACATGCCTTTTTCATGCATCCACAGCACAGAGTCTAAAGCAGTTGGAAAAAGTGGATATTACAAAATGTTCGAAGTTGAAATGCATAGTAGCAGAGACTATGGATGATCAGGATCCTAATCAAAAGAGTCATGACTCAATGTTGCCAAAATTGAAATATCTCACGATCTACCTCTGTGCTGAATTAGAATTTATATTGCCAATATGTTTTTGTGAAGACCTTCCACTACTAGAAAGTATGAAGATTGAAGATTGTGAGAAACTAAAATATGTATTTGGGCAATATCCAAAGCATAGAGATTTGCACCAAATGGGGAAAGAAGCCATCCTCCAGTTGCTAGAAGAATTGAGAATTTATGAGGTACCGAATTTCATCAACATATATGCAGAATGTTATCTCCCACAGCCTTGTTCTGATGAAGTTCAAAAGTCATCTCCAAGTGCAAAAGTAGACAGCAGTAGCAGTCTATCAAGGGGTCATCTATGTTGTTTTTGGGCAAAATCAAAAGCCTCAACTATACGTCACACTTCTGCTCCCATAGACACTCAATCAAACCATAATCAGGTAATATCTGTTACTCTATTTTGTTTTAAATCTTTATTTGTAATAATTTATGAATCACCCAAATATGCTTTGCTAAACTTCTTCTTGTATATATGATGAGAATATCAATTTGTCTTAAAGTAACAAAATTAATTTTGCATTTCTCTTTTTTCCATCTAATTGAGACACTAGGCACGGTTGGCAAAAACCAAAAAATTCGCTCAAATATATGCTGCAAATTACTTGCACGTTTTTTTTTGGCACATTATATTTACACTGCTTTGGGTCTTCTTCTGTACGCTACCCACCCGAAAATTTGTCCATTTATAAATTACTGATTGTAGAAGAACTTCATTTTGTTGGGAAAATTGGGGGAAGGACCCAAAAAAAGTAATATTTACTAAAAAAGATCTGATTATAAGAAGCAAATACTAAAATATAAATTTAAAATATAATAAATTATCCCTAAGTCCCTAACAATCCTTAATTTAAACTAAAATTTTTAATAATCCTTTTCTCATCAATATTTGAAACGAAATTTATTAAAATCAGTCAGAATCATTTATATTAATCTATCTAAAATATCTTATATATCTAAACACACAATGAAGTAAAATCATTCATCTGCATGAATTGTGCTATCAATAGTTAATTTTTAAGCTGCAATTGAAAGCCCTCTTTTTTTCTCCCAAATATCTCTTTCTTGACTTATTTTTTATAAATCGTTTTACCATATTTTTTTATATATATTTAAATTTAAATGGATATATTTTAATTAATTTCAATAAATAGAATTAGAACTTTTATAAATATTTTTACCAATTTCAATTTTTGAAAATAGAAAATAATTAATTAAATAACATTATTAATATTTATTTTTACCTAAAATTTTCCATTCCCTTAATTTTAAAAGGGAGAATCCAAAGAATTACCTTTGAATTTTAAAATTCTAAATCGGTCATGCTTGCTACACTTTAATAGCAATTGATAACATTGGAGAAGTAAATGACAACATATTTTTGTAGTCATTTTTTATTTGAGATTTTGAAATTTTAGAGATATTTCTTAGAATTTTTTCATCTTTAAATTTTTTTTATTACCATTTACTTTAATACAAACATATCAAGATCGAGAGAAAACAAAACAAAAAGATTATAAAAATTGATAACAAATAAGAAATAGTGTGCAGATAAAAATTATAGCTATGAAAAACTTTATGAGTAATGTTTGATCAATTTGATTTCTACATTATTTTTTTGCCGCCATATATCTCCCTCAAAAATCATATGAAACCAACTTACGGAGCTCATTTGTTCTTCTGATTCGTTGATTTATGTTGAAAGTGATACAATTTTACTTTTAATCCAATATTGTTAAAATATGAAATTTGTTGTTATGTATTATAGGAGTTGATCCCTAAAACACGGAGGAGCGTATGTGAGATGTGGTTAGAAAAATTTAAGAATTTAGTTAGGAATAGTTTATTATTTTTGAAATTACAGTTTTATATTTGATCCTTATAAATGATTACAAAATTTTAATATCTCTTCAATAAATATTATTTTTTGTAGGTTGTTCTCTTTAATTTTCCCCAATTTGTTTATATTAGAAAAGTTTAAACCTTGAACCTGTACCATAACTTGTACCATTCGTTTTCAATTTATGAAAGATGAAGAATCCTCACATGTTTGTATGGAATACAGGCATTAAAGGTGAATTATGTTGTCAACAGAGCTCATGGTCTTTTTACCCCACCATTATACCCGTAGAAGTTTGAAAGCGTGGAGATACTTGGATTTTCTGAGTTAAAGTCACTCTTTACGCCATCCATTGCCTCATCATTGAAATTGCTGGAAAGTTTGGAAGTTGGAATTGCGATGCACTAGAGCACATAGTAACAGATGAGGAGCATGGTCATGATCGTGGGAATGTTAACTCTATTTTCCCAACTTACATCAGGTTGAAGTCGATGGTTGTAGCCACTTGGAATACATATTCCCAGCTTTTTATTCAAAAGACTTGAAGCATTTAGAATCTGTGTGGATCACCAGGCTGGAATGTTGACACATGTCTTTGGGGAATGCCGTGCTGATGAGAATCTCAATGTTCAGGTTGATATTAATCTCCCAGCTCTGAAAGGGCTATACCTTGATGATTTACCAAATATGGTTGGCATTTGTGCTAAAAACTATTCTGTGAAGGAACTATATCTAGAAAACATTACGTTGAATAAATGCCCACAACTTCCTTTGAAAACTTTGATAGACTTATTGGTTGATGGGCATAAAAGACAAGAAGATCTGTCAAGGAGAAAGGTAAACCTCTTTCCGACTTCTTTTTCCAGTTAATTTATGATTGATCAACTAAGAAAATCATTAATACTCATATATCTTAATGATACCCACAGGCATTACCTCTTGAGAAGAAAGGTAAACCACTTTCCAACACGCAAGAATTGCCCAAGTTGGAGGATATTGGTGTGGAACCTATTATTTACATGAGCTTTCAAAATCTTTCCAAGCTAACAATCCAGGGATGCAAGCATTTGAAATTTATCTTATGCGTATCTACCTCAAGATGGCTGCAAAAACTGAAAAGGTTACGGGTATCAGAGTGCGAAGAGCTAGTGAGCATTATGGAGGATGAAGAGAATCACAAAAATCCTATGACTCCGCATCAAGTATGTTTCCCAGAGCTACGCGTAATAACAGTGACGCATAGCATAAGTTTGAAATGCTTGTTCCCTATGTCATGTGGTAAGCTTCCACGACTCTGGCATGTGGATATAGAAGATGCCCCTCAGCTTGGGCAAGTGTTTGGATGGAAGCAGGGAGAGGGACAGAAGCTGGTCTTCGAGAATGTGCTTCCAAAACTAATTGCAATAAGACTAGTAAACCTGCCAGCTCTTCATACTATCTGTCAAGGCATTAATTTTCAGACTGTTAAAATCCGTCATGTGCGTCGATGTCCTGCTATTTCTTTAGCTTCAGCTTATTATGGTACCGTCGAAGAAAGTAAGTATTTACAGAGCTAATTCATTACAACTACTAATTGCTAAAATTTGTTCTCATAATAATGTAGTTGTTTTATTTTGGCAGTGGTTGCATTACTATATCATACACTGTCTAATGAAGACTACGATGGCTACGTAGATTATATTGCTTCCTGGCGTCGGGAGGTTAGTATCAAACTTCATAAAATGGCTTAATCAGCTTAAAGAGATGAAAAAACAACAGGGAGATGAGAAATGATAATTTTTACGCCAAGATTAACTAAAAATAAAATTGATCAATACATGAATAAAAATTTCCCTCGCCGCTAATATTTTAGCATAAATTCCATACATCACCTATTTTTCCTATTCAGTGGGCTAAGATTACAATCTTTATTAATGACTTCAACTCACTATTTTCTTTATACTCTGTTCTGAGGAATTAGAGCCAACTCTGGAGAGAGACCTAACAATAGTCAATAACAGAACAAGCGTGTGTGCTACCAAGCCAACACATCCTCTCTTACATATTATTCTTCCTTTATTCCAAATTTTAGCTTGATTTAATTCGTAAAGTTTAATGATCAGAGTTCAACTCATTTCATCTTTTCTTATATGTTTTGTGATTGTTCAGGATGAATGGGAATCCGAGCAGGCAGAGGCATCCGAGGTTATTGAAGGAGGCTCCATAGTTTCACCAAAATCGCCAGAGGTACACGCATTATGCTTTTGTTGCGAAATTATAGAGAAAGGGTTAATAACAATAACTACAAATTTTGGCAGAAATTGACCAATACATGAATAAAAATTCCGCTCGCTGCTGATTTTGGCGGAATTTCCATACAACATCCACCGCTTTTTCCTATTTTGTGGGTTAAGCTAAGATTACAATTTTGTGAATGAATAATTAATTTGCATGTCCTCATAATTTCAAACAATTTTTAATCAGGTCATTATATTTTTACTTGATTTTATTTAGGTCCTTGTAGTTTTTTCCCCTTTTTATCATGCGCTTATAATTTCACATAATTTTACCAGCTCCTTGTATTTCGTTAATTTGATTTATTAATTTAGCTTAAATTAATTAAATAAATAATATTAAAACATAAGTTATTAATAATAAATTTAAATTAATTTTTATTTAATTATGAAAATAATTAAATAATTAATAGTTATTAACTGATTCGAATAATAAATTATAAATTAGTTTCAATTATATTACGATTTTAGAAAGTTTTATTATTGTAATTCAAATTTTATAGTTATAATAATAAAAAATATTATTATAAAATGAACATGGATATATGTTTAATTCAAAAGTTTAAAAGAAAAATAAGATAAAATTGTTACCAAAGAATATTATTAGAACGTATAGAATAAAGAATAAAAAAATTTCAGGGGCATGATTGAATATCAAATGAAACAATAAGAACTTGATAAAAAGATTAAAAAAAAAACTACAAGAGTCTAAATAAAAACAAGTGAAAGTATAAGGACTTGATAATAAGAAACAAAATAAACATAATTAAAAATTAGTTAAAATTATAAGGATCTGTATATTAACTATTATTTTTATTAATAATGACTTCAACTCACTATTTTGTTTAATTTATACAAGAGTTTGCAGGAGCCTACGATGCATCTTTAGGAATCAAAGTTTAAAAAAAATTAGTTAAATTGATTAATTGTAACAACTATGTGTTAGCTTAATCAGCTTAAAGTGATCGGAAGGGAAAAAAAAAAAAAAAGGGAGATGAGAAGTGATAATTTTTATACCGCGATTAAGTAAAAATAAAATTGACCAATACATGAATAAAAGTTTCCCTTGCTACTAATATTTTAGCAGAAGCCCCCAATTTTTCCTGTTTAGTGGGCTAAGACTACAATCTTTATAAATGACCTCAACTCACTATTTTCTTTATACCTGTTCTGAGGAATCAGAGCCAACTCTGGCGAGAAACCTAACACATTTTAGCATGATTTGTCGGGCAAGCTTATTGAAGAAGATCACATAATATAGTACACAAGCCTAGTCCATCTATTGAGTTAATAGAGAAAAAGGAATAAAAACAATAATTGCAGAGCATGAAATACACGTGTCAAGCAATTATATCAATAGCTAATGAAAATATAAGGGTCTTCTGGTATGTTCTGACGATTTAGGCTTGAGATGTTCAGGTTTGACATTGCTGGGCTTAGCAAATTTATTCTTAACCATTTTGGACCAAATGTTTGTGTTATTCTCAACAACTTCACTATAATAAAACAATGTCATAAAATTCTTAACTACCCATTTCTCGACTAACACTTTCACTTGTATTTTCATTTAACAACGCTCAATTATGCAGCAATGCAGAAGTGGAAAGGGTTTCATAGTAATGATATTGTTTTTAGTCTATATAGCAGTTTGCAAGAGCCTCTCATATACCCTTTAGGAATCAAAGTTGATGTTGATAGTAAACTAATATATCTTCTATTATTTTTCAGATCGAAGAAGAGGCATCATCAGAAGAAGACATAAAAAAAGACTCAACAATGTCCCAACAGAATAATGGCTCCCCAAGTTTTGAAAATGTATGCATATCATACTTTTTCTATAACTAACCACACTAAGGAAATCAACAATTGATTTCTCTCTTACCTCACTGTTTTATTCATTTGTTCAAAATAAATCAAGTGTTTTTTTTTAATAAATATTGTGTGCTAATTCGATTTATTATGGTGATTAACACCATAAAAACTCAGCTTATCTTCTTTTTATATCTTTTTGTTGATGTTTAGAGTGAGGAAGTATCAAAGGAAATTGCCATAAGAGACTCCACAACATACAAAACAAAAAGTAATTTGCCAAATTTGACAGAGGTATGTACATTGGTGCCTCTAACAAGGACTCGAACCAATAAAGAGTTCTCTTTAAATTAATATACCACATGCTTCTTAATTATTTTAACATTTTTAGTAACCCATTCGTATTTTACGAGTTACATAGGATACCGTTGCATCAACAAGTAGAATTGACGAAGAAAAACTCTCAACAACTCCGTCATCTACTTCAGATACGGTAAGGATTATTCTTCAATTTATGTTTCCACTGATATATACAGATACATACATATACATATTTCCCCGAACACATAGTCATGTGGAAGTGGAAATGCCTTATAATAATAATGATTTTGTTTTATGGATAAGAGTTGATGGGAGCCCCTAATGCATAACTTGGTGATCAAAGTGGACCCTAACAGTAAGCTTAAAACAGATTTAAGATACCAACAGATTGTAAGTTTAGAGAGTACTAAAGCAGTAGCAACAGATTTAAGGTTCCTATTTCTTATATATGCCCGCAATGACTATCCATCATTTAGTTCAAATAATTTAAGAGTGAATCCCAGAACAAAGACCTTCACTTATATGTTTACTGAACTACTCACTTCAATAAAATAGTATAGGCGTTTAATTTGTAGGAGCCTTTAATGCACCACTTGGCTATATATTACTCCCTGATCCAATCCTCTACAGAAGTAACTTTTAATTATCTCACCAACCAAGAAGAAGTAGGTACATTATTGATATTGTTTGAAAAGGAAAAAAAATCCCAATTACTCTTATTAAATGCATCACCTCGAAAAACAATTAGCTCTCTCATATGCACCCTCTTACCCCTAGAAAATTGCAAAAGGCTAAAATTAAAAGACAATAATGGTAACAAGCACTATCAAAATCAGGATATGATATGCGTTCTAATGATTCACAAAATGCTAACATTTGACAGAAGATTATACTATTTACAATGTCTTAGTGTCATAGAAATAATCCTTAAACTTACATATCATTTGGTGTTGGGCAGAATCTCAAAGCAACTTTTGGAGAAGGTCCTTCATTTGAGAAGTATGACAAAGAAAGTTCATCAGCTTATTCAAAACCGAAAACTGA